TAAGGAGCAATTGTAAAGGTTTTTAAAGGGGAGAAAATTTATCAGACTTATGTACTAATTTTTTTACTAGAGTTCAAGTAAACACTTAACACCTAAAAGTTGTGAATAAAATTCAAGCTACCTTTATAAAGGTAGTGAAAAAAATCATTCCATTATGTAATTACTCCTTTTAAACTCTGCCAAGCATATTATTATCTTGCACATTGAAGTTTGTGTCAGCTAAATGTATGGTGAACAGGCAAACTGAGTAAGAGTACGAACGGCACTTAATACCAAAGATCTTAAAATGCAGAACGGCGGAAGGCTCTTTCTTTCTTTTTTTTTTTTTTTTTTTTTGTGGTAAAATATATATAACAAAACATATGGCAAAAAACTTTTTAAGGTTCAAGTCCCCTCCACAAAACTGGACCAATTTTCTCTTAATGACTTTCCTTCTGCTTCTGTATAGTTACCTAACTTAGTCTTCTTTTCCCTCCCAACTACCCTCTCCTTACTCAACACTCTTATGCAAGATTGCCAGTCCTATCCTAAACCTGAGTCTTCCTCAGCATTGCTCAAGGCTAAGTTTATTATATTCTTCAAAATAGACCTCAGCGTCAAAACCTCAGAAGTCCTCTACTGTTCTAATTCTGAAATGTTCATCATCATTTCAACACCAAACGTTACTACAGTGTCTCTACGTTCACTGCTGCCACCCCAGACCACTCAAAACCTGCACTGTTATCACAGCTCCACTCTCTATTTAGTCCCAGAAGCCTCATCTGACTGGTCCTTTGGAACTTGCCCTCTTTCTCAAAATCTACACTGGGTTTCAGTAATTTCCTCCCATCTCCTTTCGGAAAGTTGTAGCGAGTTAACACATGGAGTACAGAATTTGGTGTTACTTAACTGTATTTCACGTGTGTGGACATTCTACAGTACTGAGACATATACCTATTTCTTGTCCTTACTACCTAGCTAAATGATAAATAACTTCACACCGTCAACGGGGCCAGGCACGAAATAAGGACCCTTACAACACCAGTACTGCAGACCCAGGAGGCCACAAACTCAATCAGCACTTTCTGTTCCTATCCCCCTTCTTCTATTCCTGTAGAAGATGAAGAGACAGGGAAGCATGATGAACCAGCAAATGAGGGGGGAAGCCTGGAGCCCAGAGGCGGAGGCTTCACTTCCGATTGCCACGCTGCACCACGAAACCCAAAGAGCCCTCCAGCCCTTCAGCAAGCTACAAGAAAAGGTGGAGCAGACGTCAAGGCTTCTTGGCCAAAGGCAAAGCCACAAAAAGAAACTGCTCTGAGGAAACAGCGCTTGGCTCCTCCAAAACTTACCTGCCAGGAGTGGCGTGGACGGCGCCATCTTGTTCCGGAAAGAGAAACACCCGCGTTCAGGTCAGAGTTCACGAGGGCCGAACCCAGCCCGTACACGTCTTCTCAGGCGTGGAACGGCGAGTTGGTATTTCCGGGGCCACTAGCCTCGGGGCCAATCTAGTTCCGATTAGAGAAAGGCGGAAAAGAAGCCCGAACGCGCACGCGCAGCTCTGCGCTCCACTGTATAGGTCGTGGGCGGGCTGGGCTAGAGCTGGTGCGCCCGCCTCCTCCCTCCCTCTCTCTTTTCCACAGCGGGCGGAGCGCGTCCAGTGCTGACGTTGGCAGCCGAACCCGAAGTAGTTCGAGGCGGCCGGCTGCACAGTCAGCCTGTTACGTTGCTTTTCCTTCCTTTTTCTCTCCACGCTCCGGGCGGCGGCGGCACGAGAAGGTCCCGGCGGCCTGCTCTCTTCCTCCTGCTCGTCCGCACCGCTCGGCCGGTCGGTCCGGCGTCGTCAGTCGATTGGCGGCCCGCGCCCGGCTAGTGGTCCGCCGCCGCGCGCGCCGCGCCCAGGCCCAGCGGCCGGAGCTCGCGCCCCGCCTGCGCCTCCTCGCTCCGGCGGCGCGGACCCCACGAGCGAAGCCTCCTAGCGGCCCGAGGGGTGGCCGGGGCAGGTGGTGGCGCCGCGAAGATGGTCGCCAAGCAGCGGATCCGTATGGCCAACGAGAAACACAGCAAGAACATCACCCAGCGCGGCAACGTCGCCAAGACCTCGGTAAGGACAGAGCGGGCGCTCCTCTCCGCTCCGCAGCCGGGGCCCGTCGAGTTCTCCCGAGACCCGGCCGACCCGGGCTCCCGGTGCCCTGGAGGGTGGGAGCCCGGCCCAGTGGGTGCCGGAGCTGGGAGGCTGGGGGACGTAGAGGGGACTTGGGAGGTTAGGGGGCCCGGCGACCGCCCGGGGTGCGGGGCCCGGGGCCGAGTGGTGTCTCTGCGTCTAAAACGCTGCGTTTTCCCTTTTGCAGAGAAATGCCCCCGAAGAAAAGGCGTCTGTAGGACCCTGGTTATTGGCTCTCTTCATTTTTGTTGTTTGTGGCTCAGGTAAGTGTGTTTTGGGGGTTTCCACCGGGTAGGGTGTTGGGTGACAGGTTTGGGATGACGTGGTGACCTATCAGTGGTGAGAGCTGCCCGCGTAGTTCTCAACCCACCTGCCCAGAGCGCCACATAATTCTGTTTCATCTGAACCAAAGTATTTGTCCCACACACGCGCAGAGGATGGTACTCCAGAAACTTTGCCCAGCTTGGTTTGTGCTCCCAGGAGGTCGGAAAGGAGGTCAGGCTCTGGGGAATGATCACATTGGAAGAAATTTAAGAACAAAAATAAAAATAAAGCACTCAGAATGAGAATTTAGAATGTTTTCGAACGTCATTATCAGTGCCTTTGCAGAGAAATTGTTTATGAAATTAAAGTGCACGTACATGAACGTTATATACATATGATGTCTGAACTGTATTTAACGCATACCAGAATCTAATGTCTTAAGTCAGAATTGGGGTAAAATATTTATTACATAAATCTGGTGCAAAGAGTTGACTCGCGGTAGACGAAGTGTACCTGGTTTGCAATTTAATGTGTGAGGTAAATGCTTTTAGATTTGTAAAAGTTTGACATACGGTAGAAAAAACTAGGGCAGCCTGCTGTTAGAGAATGGATTCTTGCCTTCCCAAATGGTTTACAGATTGTCTTTCCTCTCTTCATTTATTACCTTAATATGCAAGCTGTTAATATTGAAGTAGGTATTCCTGTTTTCCATATTCTGACGTTCTAAAGTTCCTGAGATTTGTGTTCAACCTTTCAGTTTATCTTTCTCCTGAACTTAACAATTGGAAGCTTTTCTGATAAATGGCTAAGAGCCAAGCAATTTATGTAACCTCAAGATTATTGAATTTCAGCCTTGTGAGAATAAGGAAACTTGCATAGATTATGAGCCAGGTCTTAAAAGGACACTTAAATATTTAGGGATAAACCAAAATAATTTTGGACTGGAAAAACCTGTTTACTTTGGTGCCTTACTGAGTGCTTTCTGAAATGATTAGCGATCTGTAAGCTCTCTTGGACACTTAAGATATAAAATTCAGAGACGCAGAGATTTTGAAAGAATAGTTTATGGGCATTTTATCGTTTTGTTAAGGTAGGCTTGTCTTCGCTTGTTTTGTTTGTTGTTTTGGATTTTTTTCCCCATCTTCTTATGATGATGAAGTTACATAGCATTCTTGAACTAGCTTAATATCTGCCAGTCATCAGACCTGTCTTATTTAAAGCTTGTTTTAACGTTTGGTCTTTCTCTTTACAGCAATTTTCCAGATTATTCAAAGTATCAGGATGGGCATGTGAAGTAACTGAACCTTAAGATGTTTCCATTCTCCTGTGAATTTTAACTTGAACTCATTCCTGATGTTTGATCCCTGGTTAAAAACAATTAAGTAAAGCATCCTGCCTCAGAGTGACCTTTCATATCATCCTTCCTGTATCATTCCAAGGTTTCTTCACCAGTCATTCCAAGTTCTCTAGTCCGTACCACAGTGCCTTGCAAAAGCACCACATGACTAAAGCAATAAAATTTGATTGTTAAGCTACAGTATTGGACCCTTCTTATTCAGTCAGTAAAGACTAAGTTTTCCTATGTGGTTGTTCAAACTGTATGTAGTATGGCTAATCAGATAAAATCTGTGTAGACTGGGTCTAGATTTTGTTACTCTAATATATAAATGCAATTAGTGTAATTTAAAATTTGGAATCTGTGGTTTTTAGATAGCTAGGTACTTTATTACTACTGTCTCTTGAGTTGAAAGCACACTCCATATAGGGTCATGTAACCGTCCTGCAATAAGGTGTTTATAAATGGGACATGTACACAGCCTAGTTTTACCAAAACCTTTAGCACCTAACAATTTTAAAAGGCTTCTAAATGCCTCCTATAAAGGGAGATGTTTACAGCCACAGCCTCTGTTTTAACGGTATGGTTTCTATTACACTACCTTGGATTTTACATGAGTGAACATACTAACCTAAGATGCCATAAAAATACAACAACTTGATTGAGCATGTTGTGATTTAGTCATTGCAGATGCACTAAAAGCTACCGTGGTGGAGCCAAGTCAGGGGAGGTTTGTTTATGTCGTCATTGATTTCACCAGAATTATTTTAATGTATCAAAGGGGTTTCACTATGCTGGACAGAATTTTAGTGAAAAAATACTACTAAAAACGAACGCCTCACCAGGACATGCTGTTGAGTCCAGTGTGCCATAAGACATCATAGCACGTCAATAGCACGTTTAATACCAAAAAAGGCACATAGACGAAATTAAAAGTTAACGCTTGGTTTGGAAATGCTTTTTCTATATTTATGATTAAAATGCCATTAGGTTTCTAGATAATCAGGCTAGAGTAACATCTGGAATTAAATGGATTTACTGATAAGGATCAGTCTTCAGTCTTCCCTTTGTTGTATGATTTTATAGGTTATGATGGACTAGATTTTCTTTTTACTAATGGTAAGGGTAAGAGTGGTGTAAGGTAGGTTTGGGGTTTTCTAGTACCGTTGAAAAACTGCAAGTATTGGCTGTTCATACACTTTGCCATAACTTGGTGAGAAAAGCCTGAGAGGTGCCGTGCATTAATGAGTTGGAAAGAAAGTTGCTTCTGTTTGCTCTGTTAATTGCCTCAGGATATCTCTTAAAAACAAGCTGTTTTAAGAGGAACAGAAGGGAAATCTGCTATTAGTGTATACACAGTATGAACCTCAGAGAGAGCTGATAGCCCTGCGTAAGGGGGAGAGTAAGGGAGAGAAGTGCTTAAGAACATGTAGGAACTGGACTCTCCCGGTTGGCTAAGCTGCTCATAAGGAACAGGAAAGGAACCAGCTGATGTTGGGCCGGCAGGTTTTTAACTGCATCATTAACCTGCCTTTCTCACCAATAAATCTTCCCCTGTACTTGTTTCCTTCCTTGAAACAGTTGTCTTGGTTAAGTAATTCTATTTTACTGTTATGACTTTAAAAATGAGAGTTACTGCTCTTAAGTTCATACCAGGTGCCTTAATTTTTGCTTTGAGTCAAACCATTCCTTATCAGAATTTCTCTTGATTATAGAAAATTGGCTTTAAAATGTTGGGTTTTTTTTTTTAAATGTACGATATCTCGATTAATTTGACTGTTAAATTGCTATAGATGGCAATCATTAAATAATGTAAAACTGCATTGCCTTTGTATTTCATGTATAATTTACCAGTCGAGTACATTTTCTGTTAAGGATGGATTATGCATGTTTGGGTAAATGAAAGCTGTGTCTTACTTGATTAGCCCTTTGAAAATAAAGTTCCCTGAATATTTGGTTCATTTCTCCTAAAAGAAAATGATTTTACACAGTTCTTATCTGAGTATTTTTTATGGTTAGTTGAAAATGATTTTTAAAATGCTTGGTGTTGGGTTCTTGAGTTAAAAGAAATAGTATCCAGAGGCACAGATACAAAGTTTATAGATGCAAAGTTTATAACAAGAAAAATGTACTATGAATTAAATACTTCTCTATCTAGGATCTACCCTCATCTCATTATTAATCCAAGTCTGGTTCAAGGACAAATCACACTCCTTTGATCTCCCGTCCCCAGCTGAGTTTTATGTATCATCTAATGTTGAACACAGAAGAATAATAAATGCTTTATTGGGCTGTCTGCATTATCCAGTTACTCTTTGTGATTTAGCTGTAACATTTCAAGGGGTTGTCATTTCTTTCATTGTATTTGTTGAGGTGTATATAATGTTGGTTAAAATAACTGATTGGACTTCCAGAATTAAAGATCTCCATTGTAATAGGATACATTGCAATGGCTTTGAAGTACCTTAAAGAAATGTGTGTACTCAACAGTGCAGGGCCCTGGCTCTTCTCAGGGGGTCTTGGGAATTGTGTTGGCACAAAGGTCTACCATGTACAACTGGATTATATTCTGGGTTTAGGAGCTGGTTCATCCACAAAATTTGTGCTTTAGCATCTGTAATGTTTAGAATGTTATCTAATACTCCATTTCGAAATTGTCCTGAAGTCTGACTTGCCTTTATCTACCTTTTTAGGTGGTATTTTAATTTATCCTTTTAGAAGCAGACAACTTTCAAGGGGCAAGAGTTGGCTTCAGCAGCAAACGCCACCCCCTCAGCCTGTCTAAGCTCAGTCCTGTCCCTTCTACCCCAGCCCTCTACCTGCTTGTACTGTTTGACCTTCCAGTTGGATTAGGGCAAAAATGCCCTAATTTGGAAAAGTACTAATAGGCAAAGGAAAAGGGTACCAAGGGCTAAAAGTTGGGTTAAAGGGAATATCAGCTCTCTGAACTTAGATAATTCACGCTAAATTAATAATCAGAGAACCATAAAGCCAGAAAGGACAGTTCGGTCCTGCTGCCTCAATATACAGCAAAATAAACCTTCATTTATTCAATGGATTTTAAGTGACTTCTTGCTAGGTATGGAGAATACAGATAACAGCCCCAAGACTCAAGGCTGTTTCCAGTAGTGGGGAGACCAATGAAAACGTGACCGTAATCGTGATAAGTGCTTCAACGGGAAAGTAAAACCAGATAAAAGCTGTCTTTACTGTCACAGAGCTAGTTGGGGTAGAGCAGAAACAAGAACCCAGGTTTCCTTGCTGTACTGTAGAGGAGTCCCTGTATAGTACAAAGGGTTAACTTGCCCCGCTGCTAAAAAAGTGCAGTTCAGGCCCACCCAGAGGTGCCTAGAGGGAAAGGCCTGGTGATCTACTTCTGACAAATCATCCACTGAAAACAGTTCTACTCTGACCCTCATGAAATTGCCGTGAGTAGGAGTTGACAGCAGCTGGTGGTGATGGGACCATGTAGAAACCGTGGGAATGATTGCAAAACTTCCACAAAGAACACGTCTGTTTTCATGGGATCTTGGCTTCTGCTTTTTAGAAAAGTTCTTTAATTTTTTTTTTTCAAGTTGCCAATTTAAAGAAGAAAGTAAAAGGAACTTTTTGTGAATTCATAAAATCCTTTTATGAATGCTTTTTTTAAAATGAATTTATTTGACAAATTTACTATTGGCATTTCCTGTGGAGCACAAAAATGGAAGAATCAAATCAGCTATATTATTCACTGTGACATATTCAAGAGTGGTTGAGTCGGCAAAGTCATGTGATAGATATATTTACAACAACAGCAAAGTAGCTGTTGAGGCTGTTTATGCACAACCGAACCCACGGGATTTGCTTCCTTGGTTTGTTCGGAGTTTTAAGGTCGTGGTTCCACTGGACAACCCAGTTACATAATTCTTTAGGACTGCCTTACTAAACTCCAGTGGCTTCCCGCTGCCGTTGGGATGAAATAACCGGGTGGCTACGAGTTGGAATGGACGGCAACGGGTTCCCAACATAACTTCAACCTACCTTTTCAGCCTCCTCCCCCACAGCTTCTCTCCATAGACCTGTTGAGCCCTAGGGGTCTATTTACGTTTTTCCGATAGCTTAGGCTGTCTTGAATAGCTGTGCATTTCCACGCGTTAGAATACTGCCTGTGCTTCCAGGCCCGGCTGGAATTTCACCTCTGCAGAAGCATTGTCTTCCTCTGACAGCTGTAAAGAGCTTGACTCTGGACCAGTTAATTAGCATGTATTATATGTGGCCAAGTTTATTAGTTTTGTTTCTTAATTTCTTAACCAGAGTATGGAATCCTTAAACACACTTCTTTCGTGTTTATTCTTTCTTCACCTACACTACACCAAGCCTAGTATGGTGCTTTACACGCAAAGTGCGCAAAGTGCGGCTCAGCACAGACGTGTGAAAACGAGGGCAAACAGACGGCCCAGGATATCAGAGAAATCTTCAAGAGACGCGTCTTGTAAAGTCGTCTGACCCGGGTTCAACAGCCATCCCGACCACTTCCGGGGACCACTGGTTAATGGCCGAGCTCAGGGCCAGAGTGCAGTCTCTATCCTTGAAATAAACTCACCCGGGGTAGGCTTGATATTTGGAAACACATCAACAGTGGTACTTGTCCTTCAGTCACATTTGAGAATCGTTCATAACGAGTGTTGAGAAAACTGAAAGTGCTTTATCACAGAAAACTGACACCTCCCACACACCAGTCTGTCCTGTTATACGAGCGAAACAGCCACGCTTGCTGTTGAGAGCAGGTGCTGTGCGCGGGCAGCTGCCGTCAGCAGAGAGCTACCGCGAGCCCCTTTCTAGGGCGCACGATGCTCCAAGGCAGCGGCGGATTAACCAGTAAACAAACTATGCACGGGTGCGCACAGGTACGCACGGACGTACTTGCGCTTACTTACTAATCTGTAGTGCACCATTTCACAAAACCCATGTGAAATGGTGCACTACAGATTAGTAAGTAAGCACAAGTAAGCCCGTGCGTACCTTGCTTATTGGGTAATCCACCCCTGCTCTAAGAACGCCACACAGATGCGCCCTTGTCCATGCCAGACCCGCGCGAACCCAGCACAGTCCGTGCATCCGTGCACCCCCAACCAGATCCAGTCCTTGAGAAGGGATAGGCTTAGTTCCCCGCACAAGGGGATTTCCCACAGCACGCCACACCGCGTTGGCTAACGAGCTGCTGCAAAGCGTTTAGAATGTGGTGGTTTCCCAACCAGATCTCAGACACTGGGCAAAGAAGACTCCGAGGGCCCTTCTTTGCGGAAAATGCTATGCGCGCAGACTCGCAGGGTGGGGCACCGATAAATAAAGGCACAACTGTAAATTCCAAGGGGCACACGCATCTGGGATTGAGACAAATTAGAATTTCCCATAAAGCCCAAGTCATAAAGGTAAAATAAACAGTGAGAGAATCCTAGCATGCTTCAGCCTAGCTCCAACCTTGGCTTCATGTGCACAA